TGGTGGATTTTTCTAGGCCAACCATTTTCTCTTCTACATTTGAGATTCTATTTTCTGTATGATCTAGTCTGCCTTTAATACTTTCAAGGGAGATTTTGACTTCTTGTATTATAGCCTTCATCTCTAACAGTTCCATCTGATTCTTTCGTAAAGTGTGCAATTCCTCTTTTAGATCTTGCATGAATTTCCTCACCTCCTGGAACTCTTCAACTCCTTTCTCCTTCCTCTTCAGCAGTTCCTTGTCTCTCTTCTCTTCATCTCTGTTAGCTTTGCCATTATGAATGTTCTGAATTCTTTATCAGACATTTCCATGATTTCCATTGAACTATGTGTGGGTGAAGAGGAGCTATCCGTTTCCCTTGTGGGAGAGGTATTTTCCTGCTTCCCCATATTTCTTGTGGTCCTGCAGCGGTTTCTAGTCATCTGGTGGATTGTCGGGTTCTTTCCAAACTTGGAAGTCTGTGGACCCCAGGTTGGTAGTCTGTGGACCCCAGGTTGGTCGTCTGTGACTTTAAGGTGAACCCCCCCACCCGTGGTTTGAATCTTGGACCTGGTGGCTTGAAACTCATGCCAGGAACGTGTGTGTGCCCAAGATCCTGAGAGGAGAATGGAAGAGAAGTGATTGCAGTATGGTCATCTTCCCTGGGGGGTGATTTCTCACTTTCCTTCTCACTGCTCTATCTCTGTTTCTCTCTCTCTCTCTCTCTAGGTGCACACACTCCCTAAGGCAAAAATAATCTCTACAAAAAAAAATTACATAAATAAAAACAAAAAAACATTGTATTAATGTCTGTGTATTAGGTGAAACTTCAAAAAGGAATTCTGTTATTCTAGAAGTACAAAATCATCACAATTTTACCACTATTCTATCCCACACTATTAATAGTAGATGATTAATAGGTGTCAACCCTACATCATTTGGCTGCCTGGGATGGTATTTTAAAAAGGATTCTAGGAGGTTGGCAGTTGGTGTGGTGGTTAGGGTGCCGGACTCCCACATGACCAACTGTGATTTGAGTCCTGGACCTGGTTGTTTGCTCTCTTGAGTTCCCTCTCTCTCTCTCTGGTTAAATTAAAAAATAATAAATAAAATTAAGTAAAAAATAATTCCTAAAGAGAAAAAAAGGATACTAGGGCCGGCAGATGATGTAGTGACTAGGGTCCTGGACTCCCACATAGCAAGTCCTGGACCTGGCGACTTGCTTTCTCACTTTTCCTCTCTCTCTCTGGTGAGTGCCCATGCCCTATAGCAAATTAAAAAAAAAGATAAATTAACAATTCTTTTTAAAAAGGATTTGAAAGCACTCTTACATACGCATGAACTCTCACTGGAAAGGTATACAAGTAAGTAGTAGTAACATGGATTGCCCACGTGAAGGGGAACTGGGTATCTGTAGGCAGGAGCAGGGATTAGGTACTGCAAGTACAGTGTATAGTTTTAAGTTCAGTTTCCTTTTGAATTAGAACGTGTTTATTCTAAAAGTTAAATTAAAAATAATAAGGACCATCCTGCAGCCTGGTGATTGAGGTGGCTGGATCCCATATGGCTGACTGTGCAGTTGAGTCTTGGACTTGGAGGCTTGAAAAACACACCAGCATGTGCGTGTGCATGTCCAAAATCCCCCAAGGCGGGAGAGATGGAGGAGAAGGAATTGTGACGTGACCATGCCCCATGGGGGGATGCTTTTTTGCTTTCCATCTCTCTGTGCATCTCTCTCTGGTGAGTGTAAACACCCTCTAGCAAAATTAAAAAATAAATGAATCTAGCCTCTGTACTATTAGAGGAGAAAAGTGTTGGGAGCGGCACTCCAGTATAGAGCAGGGTCTGGCAGTGAAGATTGCTGTTACAGATTAGCAGTGTCTAGTTTAAAGAGTGGGGAGTTACAGCCTGTGTGCTCTGTTTACGATCCCTGATAGACCCGTTATTGTGACAGTACCATAAACAGATATTTATGTGACTCATTAAAAAGGATTAATTTGTTTTCCATGCTCTGCTTACTTGATTGGGGGGGTTATTTACTATATTTTAAGTTTTTTATTCAGTAGAATATGGTTGATTTAAATTTTTCAGTGCTTAAAGTAGTTTTTGGTTTTAATTTTTAACTTATTTAGAAATAATCGCAAACTTAGACAAAAGTTGTATGAATAAGTTCAAAGACCTATTCACCTTTCGTTACCATTTTACTCCATTTGTTTTACCATTTTATCTAATTCTCTGTTTTATTTCTTTTTTGAGCCATTTGAGAGAAACTTATGAAATAACTATTTCGGAGTGTATTTTTTGCTTTCTTTTTTTAAAGATTTTTTGCCGTAGTGGTGGTGTGCTCACCTGAGACAGACAGACAGTGAGAGGGAAAGTGAGAAATCACCTCCCAGGAGGATGGCCATGCCACAGTCTGTTCTCCTCTGGGATTCTGGGCACACATGCACATTTGCCCTGCATGACTTTTCAAGTCACCAGGTCCAGAATTCAAGCTGTGGTTGCCATGTGGGAGTTTGGCACCTTAACCACCTTGCCACCTGCCGACTCCTATGGTGTAATTTCTAAGATTACCAATATTCTCTTAACTGCAATACAATTATCAGCTTTAAGTGAGTAAGCTTAATATTGATATTATGCTTTACTGCCTGTTTTCTGTTTTTGCCACTTATCCCAAGAATTTCCTATATAGCATCGTTTGTTTGTTTCCCTTTCTGGCACAGGATCCAGACTGGAGTTAGGTATTACATTTATTTATCCTATCTCTTTAGCCTTCTTTGGTAGCAAACATTTTTACTGTCTTTATTTCTTCTTTTCTTTCATTCTTTTTTTCTTTTCCTTTTTTTTTTTTTTTTACAGTATTGAGTTTTTTTAAAGAATATACTTTTCCCTTTTTAAAAAATAGAATGCTGATCATTCCGATGTTTCCTTATGATTATATCCAGGTTGTGCATTCTCAGCCCGCATATTACATAGGAGATGGTTTCTTCCTCAGGATATCATGTCAGGAGGCTTGCAATGGCCACCTGCACCTTATTAAAGATATCGGAGTATTTGGGCAAGGTGTTTTCTAGTTTCTACTGTGTAAAATTTTCCCTTGCAACTAATAATCAATAGCAAGTCATTTTAAAATCATGCAAATATTCTGCTCCTCATCAAAATTTCTCCCTAGGTTTAGCATCCAAGATCGTTCTTGTCTAATCCAGTAATTACTGTGTTGGTTGCAAAATGCTGATTTTGGCAATTCTAGCACTACCTCTGTGTTTACTCAGCATTCTGGTGTAAATGAGGGGCCTCTACACTCTCCCTTTTATTTGATTTATTTGTTATAGACACCTATAATCTTTTTCACCCCAGTGATTCATTATTTATGACTTTGAGAAATAGAGGTTTTGATTCTGGGGTTAGTGATGACTTGAAGAGATCAGTTGACCACTCTGAAACTGCGTGCCACGTTCTGTGTTGGTTGGGCTTCTTTCTGGGGAAAGTGCTCATAGTTTTCATCAGCTTCTCTGAAGGGCATTGACTCAAAAGTGGATTAAGTTCTACTATGTTGAAGGGTTAGACTTTGAGCTATCTGTAATGCTTATATATATTTGTATATTCTTACTCTTGCTTTGTATGTGAAGTGTTAGAACCATAATATATGCTTCTCTGTAGAATCTTGCATCTTTTTTGTCTGCTGTTTTTAAGCTATAACTTAAAATAGTAATATATTTTGTTTCCTTTAAATTTTTGCCTAGAATATATAATAAATGTTAATATCTTCATTGCCAGTGTAACAGCAGTTTATGGTGTACAGAACCAGTCTTGTGAAACAACAAATTACCTTGATTTGATTTGAAATTTTAAAACCAATGTTTTTTACACTGTAGTTTTATTAGCTCCCTGGGAGTGAGCTACATGATGTTGTGCACTGAAAATTACCCAAATGTTCTCGCCTTCTCTTTCCTGGATGAGCTTCAGAAGGAGTTCATTACTACTTATAACATGATGAAGACAAATACTGCTGTCAGACCATACTGTTTCATTGAATTTGGTAAGGGCCCGACTTTTTTTCCTTTTTATTATCCTGTCTCCATCTAGTCATAAACAGTTTGTCATCCTGGGGGAGAGGGAGGACATCTCTGGTATCTTGCTTTTGATAGACTAATCTAGCAATGACTCTATAAGTTACGGTACCTTTTTACTTAATTTAGATGCCTATTAGAAAAAAACGTGTTTGAGTCACGAAGGGGATTGTGATTATTGGCCCGGAGAATTAATCCCAGAGGACAATTTCTCAATAAGAAATTTATAAGCCAGAAATTCAGAGTTTTAGGTTTATGCGATAATCTTTTATAGTCTGCTTAATGTAGGATGGGGGTTGTCAAAAATTTGCTAGGAAGAGCCTGATAGTACATATTTTAGGCTGTAAGGGCCATATGGCTTCTGTCCCAGCTACTCAGCTTTGCCATTGTATCTCAAAAGCAGCCATGGGCAATAATACATAAATGAATGAGCAGTTATGTTCTGATACAACTTTATTTACAGAAACGTCAGCAAGCTAGATGTGGCCTGTGGGTAGTAGTTCGCTAAACTCCTGATGTAGGAGAAGAAAAGTAAAACTGAGTTGTGAATAGTAAAAATTAAATTTTACTTGGAAGATATTCAGGAAATTTTTTTATCACTTTCATTAAATTTGTTCTGTAAAACATACATTTCAATGGTGTAAGCAATAGAAGGAAAACAGATTTATAAAAACATGTAACTTACAGAATATGTTCTTATGTAATTACAACTGGTATATCTGATAGATTTAATATTTTATAAGAGTCTCTATAAAAATTAAGAGTTCCATAGCTGTTTTTGATTTCTATTATTCCTTGAAGTAGATAATCTAAATACTCACACTCAGATAATGTTAAACTTTTAATTTATTTAGAATTGTTAACTTCTAGAGGATAATTTCTAGAGTGTAAAATTGATGACTCTGTGATAAATTAACCATTAAACACAAATAATATTGAAACATTCCATGACAAATTGAACAGTTTTGAGTAACAAATTAAACTGTTTATCTGTAAAATTTACTATCCATAACATCATACTCTCAAATGATTTAATTTAACAAATGACTGCAAAGCAATCTATTTTTTTATTTCACATAGATAACTTCATTCAGAGGACCAAGCAGCGATATAATAATCCCAGGTCTCTTTCGACAAAGATAAATCTGTCTGATATGCAGACGGAAATCAAGCTGAGGCCCCCTTATCAAATTTCCATGTGTGAACTGGGGTCAGCCAATGGAGTCACATCGGCATTTTCTGTTGACTATAAAGGTGCTGGTAAGATTTCTTCTGGTGAGTTCTGGATCTTAATTATTCCATTTAAAAATACCTTTTGTAAGAACTGAGGAACTCTTGAAAAATTATTTTACTGTTATTTTAAATCAAGTACATGAGAGACTACAGACGTTCAAAGCAATCCTTTCTCTCATTGGCTTTTAAAGTAGGCTACCAGAATATGTAACTAATCAGGAAAATATTTTAAAATAGCAATCTTAGAGACTTTCTTTTTTAGGAAAACATTTAATATCTCTCCAAAAACATTTTTCTAGAAATGAAAAATAGGGCAGGGTAGATGGCACAGTCCACAATATACTCAATTGCAATGCTGGAAGCCGCATGATTGAATGTGGGTTTGGGTACACCATCAGCCTGAAAACTTGTTGGGCATATGTGAGTGTGCCCAGCATTCTGGGAACTGGAGTGCTGGGGAAACAGAATCTCTCTCTTTCTCTGTGTCATGAGTGGGTACATACTCTTTATCATTAAAAAAAAAATTATTTGTAACATATTTATGTCTGTAAAATGCTTTGCATTATGTCAGAATGGCTAAATTTAAAGCCAGGGTTCAGTGTTCTTTTTTTTTTTCCCCTTGTCAGAGAAATCATGCATTTGCCGGAAAGAGAAAATCCTCCCAATGGAGTGTAGCCACACTGCAGCTCCTCCTCCACTTCTCCATCCTGTCAAGCTTTGGGACATACACACACATGCACCTGATGTGTTTTTCAAGGTGCCAGGGCTAGAATTCAAACCATAGTCAGCCAAGTAGACTATAACTCTCTTGACTACTAGGCTACAGGGCCAGCTCTAAAACCAGGTTCTTGACTGTCACAGAAAATGTAAAGATCTTAGTGATCATTACTCAAACCTCCCCTCCTGTCCTAGTCCATTACTGAATTGCTTACAGAAATATCTGTGACTGAGTGAAATAATAGAGGTTTTTTAACTCATGAGTCTGGTGGTGAGGAAGTCAGAAGGCATCACAATATGGTGGAAGGCAGAACGTTGGGCTGAGTGGAACATGGCTGTATCCCTTAAAACCCTGAAGTGTTGAGTTATCCATGTTCAGTGCCAACCTGAAAGAACTGCAGGCATAACACTCCAGCTAAAGAGAGCTGAAATATGGACCAATCCCTCCAGGCCTAGGGAAGCAATATTGCCTGATGCTTTGGGAGTCTAGCCCCATCGATGTGTCCAAGAGGTAGCACATGGAGCTTCAAGATCTGATGTCTGCTCTCTTAGGTTCCACACTTATTTGGAACCTGTTATTACTATTTTTTCTGGTGGAATGGGAGTTTCTACCTTGTACTTTCTCCACAGTTACATTTTGAGAATATACAATTTCGTTTTGAATTCACAGGCTTATGTCTGGAAGGCATTTACTTGAGTCTCAGATTGAGACTTTGGACTTGAACTTTGAGTTAGTGCTGGAATCACTGAAATTTTTTGAGACCTTTGAAATGATTTTGTATGTTATAATACATGAATTTGGGGGCTAGAGGTGAAATGCTATAGTTTGAAGGTCCCATGGAAATTCTTGTGTTGGAACATGATTGCATTATAAAGGTGTCATTCTAAATGACACCTTAATCCCTTCACAGTGTCCCAGACTGCAGCCTTTGGGCATGGTGGTCATTAGGGCAGGGCCCCGTGATTAGTTCTGATATGTATATAAGGAGAGGAAACGAGGCAGGCAGAGCCATGTGGATATAGACCACATTCTGCTCTGCTAAAAATTCTGCCTTTCACTAATTTGTGTTGTCTCTGGACTTCCCAGCTGCCAGAATCATGAATCAATAAATCTGTTTCTTGGGACCAGCAGTTAGCGTAATGGCTATGGCGCTGGACTCCCATGTAGTCAACCACGGTTTGCGTCCCAGACCCGGTGGCTTAAATTCACACCGGGCGCGTGGGTGTACGTGCCCAAGATCCTGAGAGGAGAATGGAAGAGAAGGGATTGTGGCATGGCCATCCCCTCTGGGGGGGATGATTTCTCGCTTTCTGTCTCTCTGTCTTTCTGGCAAGCGCACACACACACACAGTAGTCATTGGCATGCTACAAAATACAGTTTTGCATATTACCTTGTTTTGGATACCATTGTTTCAAGTACATTCCCAGTAGCTATATTGCAAATCCTAAGCAGGCCAGGACCTTATCTTTGACATCAGCACCTGCCTGTGGAGTAGAAAGCTAGTTCTAGCTAGTCTCTATCCATGTAGCTCTGCCTGCCTCATTTCCCCTCCTTATATACATGCCAGAATGCAATCATGAGCGTCTTCTCTTAATGACTGTCATACCTAAAGGCCTCACCTTGGAACACCATGCAGGGATTAAGTTTTCACTTAACATCTTTACAGTACAATTAAGTCCCAACATATGACCTTTCACGGGTATCCTATCACTGCCCATTAAGACCAGATTCCAAAATATGAACCTTTCAGGGAGAAACTGTCATCGAAGTTGTAAGACCTTCCCCAGAATGAATACTATTCTTAACAGTTGTGATGGGAAGAAAACTGCTTAAAAATGGAAACCTTATTATGTTATAAGGTAGCATATGTCATTGCTGGACATGTTGGACTTGTTTGTACTGAGCTAAGTTTGCTTCCCTATATATAATGTCTAACCGAGTGTTTAAGTTCTGTGCTGTCCTCTTCCTTCAACTGAACCAGAATAACAGTTAAGTCAGCAACTACGTGTGTGTTCCTTCCTTTTAGATTTATTAACTTCATATAAAATATCTTCCAATCCCTTATCCTTTTTGTTTGTGGCCATCATAGAAGCTTCCTCTAGACATACTTTAGTTTGTTAGAATTCTTTAAATATGAAGTGAATACAGCTCTTTTGGTTTGATAATTACAAATGCGGTAGGAGGGAGGAAACATAGTTTTATAAAATAATCTGTAGTGGGACCAGCAGTTAGTGTAATGGCTTTGTTGCTGGACTCCCACATAGTTGACCGCGGTTCACGTCCCGGACCCGGTGGCTTAAACTCACGCCGGGCGCGTGTGCGTGCGTGCCCAAGATCCCGAGAGGAGAATGGAGGAGAAGGGATTGCGGCATGACCATCCCCCCGGGAGGGTGATTTCTCGCTTTCTGTCTCTCTGTCTCTCTCTGTCTGTCTCTGTCTGGCTAGCGCACGCGCCCTATAGCAAAAACCTCTCCAAAAAAAAATAATAATCTGCAGTAGATCGTTACTAGATGAGTGAACAACCAAATAACAATAACAAGTCCTGAAAGGAGAAGAAGACAGACCAGTATCCAAAACTATTACAGGGTTATTTAAAATGTTCAGTTTCCAACAAAACATTATGAGACATGCAAAGGAACAGAAAGTGTGACCCATAAACTGGAAATTTTTAAAAAAAGAAGCAGATCACAGAAATTATCTCTAAGAATGACTAGATACCAGATTCAACAAAAACTTCAAAGTAGCCATTTATTGAAATTGTGTTTAAAAACACAAGGAAACTACTGTTTGTAAAGAAAGGGGCGAGCCACTGGCTTGGTAGTTAAGGTGGCTGGGTCCCACATGGCTGACTATGTAATTTGAAAAAAAAACACACTGGGTGTGTGCGCTTGTGTGCCCAGAATCCCAAGAGAAGAATGGAAGAAAAGAGATTGCAACGTGGCCATCTCCCTTGAAGGGGATACTTTCTCACTTTCTCTCTCTCTGTCTCTCTTACTCTTTCTCTCTTTCATGAGTACATATGCCCTATAGCAAAATTGAAAAAAAGCAAAAATAAAATGAAAGAAAAAAGTAAAGTTTGATAATGTCACATCAAATAGTATCAGTTGTGATAGAAATTACTTTTAAAAATGGAAGTCTGAAATTTGAAAGTACAGTTCATTAGAGGGACACAACAGTAGACTTGAACTGGCAGTACAGAGTTGGAAATTTGAAGACAGATTGGCAGAGATTATGTAATCCAAGGAACAGAGTTAAGAAGAAAATTGAGCAGAAACTCAGAAAAAATCTGGGACACTATTAAGCACACACCAACATATGCATGGTGGCAATAGCAGGAGAGGGGCAAGAGAAAGGAACAGAAAAATAACCTGAAAAGTAATAGCCGAAAGTTTCCCAATTTATAGAAGAACATCAATTTTTTCTTCTAGGAAGCTCAGTGAACACCAAATAGGGTACATATAAGAGGTTCATAAATATATGAACCATAGTGAAAATGCTATAGGCCAGAGAAAAGAAGAATCTTGAGAATAAGGGCAAACTACTCATCACTTAAAGGCAACTCTGAGATTATCAGCTTACTTCTCAGCAGAAACAATGAAGGCTTGGAACCAGCAGATGGTGTAATGGTTTCATGCTGACCTCCCTTGTAGTTGACTGCAGTTTGAGTCCTGGACCCGGTGACTTAAAACTTATGCAGAGGTGGTGGTGGTGGTGGTGGGAGCAGCAGTTAGCGTAATGGCTACGTTGCTGGACTCCCATGTAGTCGACCGTGGTTCGAGTCCCGGACTTGGTGGCTTAAACTCACCAGGTACGTGTGCGTGCGTGCCCAAGATCCCGAGAGGAGAACGGATTGCGACATGGCCATCCCCCTGGGGGGGTGATTTCTTGCTTTCTGTCTTTCTGTCTCTCTCTGTCTTTCTGGCGAGCGCACATGCCCTATAGCAAAAACCTCTCAAAAGAAAAAAAAAAAGAAAAAAAACCATGCAGGGCACATGTGCATGCATACAAATGGAGAGGAGATTGCAGCATGGCTGTCTCCACTGGGAGAGTGATTTCTCAGTTTCTGTCTCTCTGTCTCTCCAGCGAGCACACCTGCCCTAGCAAAAATCTCTCTTAAAAACAAAACCCAGGAGCTGGCAGATGGTGTGGTAGTTAAGGGCAGTGGACTCCCACGTGACTGACTGTGTTTCGAGTCCTGGACCTGGAAGCTTGCTCTCTCACTTTGTCTCTCTGTCTCTCTCTTGCTCTATCCCTCTCTGGTCAAATTAGAAAAAAAATAAATAAAATACTTTTTAAAAACAAGAAACAGAAGAAACAATGGAG